CTGTCGTGGTGATAAAATAATAATCAAACTGTGCAAAATTATCTTTATAATCATGTGTTATTGATATTATCAGATTTACTGGAATCAAGCAATCGACAATAAACCGTAGCCCTTCATTTTGATATTTTAATTTAAACTATAATGATGATATTAAAAAATGTTTTCAATGTACTTGGAAATTCGATAAGAAAATTATATAGTGTAGGATAAAAATCTAATATATATATTTATAAAAAAACATATTGTAAAATTTTTTTAGAAATATGTTTCTATTATAAAAGAATCCTTCTGTTGTCACTGTTGTTGGTAGGAAGTTGGGAAGGTAGGACACAGACGAACATTTAATGTATGTTAACCTGTAAGCATAACCATAACGATAACCATTGCTAACGAAAAAACGATTCTGAGCGGAGTTGAGTTGAAGTGTTTCTTTGCCAACAATATATAATATATCATATTAAGGTAAAATGATTACAACAATGAGCATTTTCACGACAACAATAATTGTTTAAAAACAACCAAGTTTTCCTCATTATCTCGAATATTAGTGAGAATTTAAAAAATAACCACTTTAAAGTACCACCCAAAGAACATTTCTTATCAGAAAAGGTGACCATTTTCTTCTTCTTCACGTCTTCGATCTTTTAATTGATTTGCTTCATTTCTTCTTGCTTCCCTTTTGTAACCTTATTCTTTTAACTCATTGTAGCTATCCTTTCCCGCATCTATCATGATTTTAATACCGCTTCATTAGTTATTCTTTTTTTTTTGCTTGATGGAAATAGTTATAGCGTTAGAAATAATGTTGATAGTGAAACACGATATAACATAATATTCTATGTTATAACTTTATGTATGTTGTTTTATATAAGAAATGGAGTGTGGGGTGACCCCCACGACTCACTTTTTAATACATTATCATGTCCCCCCAATAAAGATTCCTGAGAATACCTCTGCTTGAAAATGTTCTCTAAAAAGAATACGATACATATTAATTTTTGGATATTGATACAGAAACTGTTTTAAGGGACGGGAACAAAAAGATAACCACATTTGGTAACCCCCAAACTTGTACATTTTAAATGTTAAATGGATAATTTAATTTTAAGATCTGCAAATCTATATATTATTTCTTCCGAAGATATCATTACATACGCAGTTTCACTAAAAATTGTTTGGTTGTGGCTAGATTCACATTGAAAAGCGGCGTGATTGGGATTTACCATAGTAAAACCTTGGCAAGACGCTTCTATTTACGAGGATATTTTCCGGTCCCAAGTACCTGTAGATCAAAATCATTCATCGGTCGTCATTTAACATGTTTAATCTCCTATCGTTTATCAATGTGAATCTGGCATAAGAGAATGCTATACCTGCATATGTTTTTTCCGTCATACTAACGCATGAAAAAGTAAAATTATTTTACCTACTTAGAATATAAAATGTAGCGTTTAAATTGAAATTGTAGTTTAATCACAAATAACAGCATTTAAAGAATTAAGACGATTTAAAAAAATGCAAAAAATAACATGGCTGTAACTTTTTCATTTGATTTTTTTTATGTATAGCCCTTGAAAATGTTCTCTTTTTTAAATTTTTTTGTTTTCAATTTAACATCAATTTCAACTTAAACGACTAAATTTAAGTTCTAAATATAAGAGAAAAACGTTGCAGATCATCATTAAGACAGTCAGATGGATCTGGTCTTTTGTGTATAAAATAAATCATATACATCCATTGATTTTTGTTAAAGCCGCGGCCGTCGGCTCTGGGTCAACATAACATGTACTATAAATTTTAATTACAATTTTTATTTTTATTATTTTTTTTTACCGATTCATCATTATCCTCTTTAATATTTCTCGGTGTAGTATTTCAAATGCAATGATTCGTAAGTTTTAAATATAAACCTATAAAATATCTAATACAACTTCACGGGTGGTCAAAACAGTAGCTTAAATCTCTACGTGCGAACGAATTTATCTATGCGTAATGCGTACATATATAATATTATTATAATAATAATAGTTTATATGACTGGATTTAATAACCGTGAACAAAATAAACCGATGTCATTATTTTTCTTAGGAGGAAGCCCGAAGTCACACCCGCATCTACTGTCTCCGTCGTACGATAAACATACGATATAGTAAATTTGCGTTCAGCAGGGATAACTGTGTGCTGTTAGTTTTAATATTAGAGTGAATTAACTATTTTTGACTATTTTTAAAAATATGAATATTATTTGTGCAATTATATGTACGGTTTTTTCTCGATTATTTTAATTTGTATGTGAGGTATGAATATGACCTGCAATATCACCATTATAGCATATTATATTTCGCTTAAAAATTTAAACATCCTATAACTAAAAATAATATTTTATAATTATGAATTAATACTTAAAAATCGGCACAGTTGCGCTTACTTAAAAAAAATTAGCACTCCCATCTATATTTTGGATAACCTCAACAAATACTCATTTTATAACTTTTCCTTTTTTTTTGCTTTTTAAACCGACAGTGGTCGAATATAGGTATATAAACAGCTGTATACTACGTCGATGAACATGCTTACCTACTACATCCTCTATAAATATACGGTGTTATTAATATAATATAGCAATGAATAAGTAACTTAATAACTATAATACCGGGTATGTCGACAAAAGGTGTCATTTTATATAGTATATATACAATGACACATAGCGAAAATATACTCGTAATACGTGTAGGAAAAATGCCCGATTTTTCCGGCTCTACGAAATATTGTCCGTATTATTATGTTATAATATTCTGTGTTAGGTTTAAGCCATTCCATAAGTCCGTTATTTTAACATCGGTCGAATATGGTTTAGCAGATAGAATATGCGAGCCTATAGAAGCATAGACAAGTTTGCAAATGTATTAGTAAGAGCTCTTGATCTCTCGTCGTCACGAAAACGCCGTTTTCCGCGAAGTCGTGGCACGTTGCTTATCACATTACCCAAATAGACAAAACTTTAAACATTGATGACCCCTCCTCCCCTCTTTTTTTTATCAATAGACGATCCGTTAACATATCTATAAAAAAATCAACACATATTTTTATTTTGTACTGCATTACTGTGGTTTCGCAAACTACTGTCTACTCATAATGTGAATACTGTTTATTATTGTAGGTACGTATTGGCCATTATAATTCAAAATGTTAAGTAGCTTGTCCAGGAATGTTGAATGGGATGGAATGAGCATTAATAATAACCATGAATAAATCGTAGAATTTACTTCTTTACACAACTTGACTATGGAAATTTAAAAACTAGATTCAAAAAAGCCAATTTTTAATCAATAAATCAAACTTTCCATGTAACTCGACCGAAATATACAGTCTGTCCCACCGTGTTCGACATATTCCCGTCTTTATCCTAAATTTCCAACTTCCCATCTACAACAATGGCTGCACGCACGTATGAAGTATGTCCGTCCTTTTTTTAGATTTTTTTTTCAATCGATTTGTTTTTGGCTTGGTCAGGACATCGATTTGGAGAAGAATTAAACTTTATTTTCATTCTCTAAAGACAAAAAAAAAAAAATAACTTTTTATTTATTTCTTTAAATTGGCTATTTTGAACATTTTTTAAAGTTAATAAAAAAAAAGTTATTTTTTTGTTTATGTTTAGGGGATGAAGATAAAAATTTAATTTTTCTCTGAATCGATGCCCCCCTCGAAGATAAACCGATTGAAAAAAAAAAGAATCGAAACAAATTTAATATTAACAGTGCTAGAAAAATCCATCGAACATTGTAGGACACACTGTATACATTTTAAGTTTAAATTATCTACTAAATAAATACCCACAGTTGTAATATTTTCAATCCAACGAGGGAGGGAGGATACAACTCCTAACCACCCCCTTCCCTGCGCACGCCACTGAACATGCCACCGATCGGCAATACGCGTAAGCGCGTATTTACTTTGATATAAAATATACCTGTCTATGTAATAAATATATTGACTATATGTATATTATACTGTTCAATCAATGATAAAATACATAGCACAACTGCTGTGTTATGTATTTAATATACCAATTGTTGGCGCTAAACTTTAAATCCTAGTTTATTAGAAAAATTAAAAAAATCAAGAGCCTTTATATTGATTGTGGAGTCTGTAAGTCTGACGGTCACAACCCATATACCCCAATTAGGGATGTTTGAGCAAATTTTTCGATACACAATAGCTGCCGCTGTTCTTGTCAATAATATTTGTGTTCATTTAGTTTACCAAAGATGGCTGGATCTTATTATTATATACAATAGCAATTATACGAGGTGTGGCTATTAAACAACGAGACTGCTCGCCTAGAGGGCGCCCTAGATGGGTAGTGAAAAAAACGAGTAATGCGTTGGGTATCTAGATATCTTATCTATGCACGTACCAAAACACGTTTTCGTCACTATTATAGTATTTGTGCAGTAGTGGTTTGAAACGAACGTGTTTTTTTCTCGTGCCGAAAACCATGTGTGACGAAAAACAGGAGCAACGTATCAATCTCAAATTTCTCGTTAAATTGAAAAAAACTCCGACCGAGTGCTATAAATTGTAGCAAGAGGCCTATGGAGGCAATTTTCTATCTCGTGCACGTGTTTTTGAGTTGTATAAGCGCTTCAGTGATGGCCGAGAGAGCACTGAAGATGACCAGCGCCCAGGTCGCCCTGTCACTGTTTCAACTCCGGAAAAAGTGATCAAAATCAACCAAATTGTACGTGCAGATCGTCGAATGAGCATCCGGATGATTACCGAGGCTGTAAACGCCGATAAGGAAACGGTTAGAAAAATTCTACATGAGGAATTACATATGACAAAAGTCTGTGCGAAGTTGGTGCCAAAAAACCTGACTCCTGACCAAAAGTTCTTGCGTCAACAGGTCTGCTCAGATTTCCTTGAAAAGTTAAAAGAAGATCCCGGACTGACGAAAAACATTATAATTTGCGACGAAACATGGATTTTTCAATACGATGTTGAAACAAAGCGACAATCGATGCATTGGAAGACACCTGAATCGTAAAAAAGCAAGGATGTCCAAATCAAAATTTAAGGCAATGTTGATCGTTTTTTTTGACATTAACGGTATCGTGATGACTAAATGGGTTCCAGAGGGCCAGACTGTCAACCAGTTTTACTATTTATCAGTTTTGGCAACACTGCGAGAAAGAGTTCGTAAAAAACGGCTCGAGTTGTGCAAGAACGACTCGTGGATTTTGCACCAGGACAACGCACCTGCCCATAACGCGCTATCTGTGAAGCAGTACTTGGCCGGTAAGCGCACTCCAGTGCTCGAACACGCGCCGTACTCGCCAGATTTGGCACCGTGCGACTTTTTTTTGTTTCCAAAGATAAAATCTGCTTTGAAAGGGACCCGATTTGAGTCGATGGAAGCGGTAAAGCAAAAAACGGCAGAGCTCCTAAAGGCCCTCACCAAAGAAGACTTCCAGCACTGCTTTGATCAATGGAAAAAACGTATGGAAAGGTGTGTGGCGAGGGGAGGGGAGTATATTGAAGGGGAGCATTTGAATGTAGAATAATTTTTATAATAAAACACTTTTTCGTAACCAGCCTCGTTGTTTAATAGCCACACCTCGTAAGTGCAGCCATACAGTGATTTTTTTTTTCAATCGTGATCCAGTGATATTCGCGGAGGATTGCGTAAGTAAATTTGAATTTTGTTTTGTTTATAACTATTGTGTAATTATTTATATTTTTAAATGTTTACCCCAAACGGCCCTAACACTCCCCTAATACCTTAAATCAGGAGTAATATATATTAAAATTTTGAAAATTCGGTCAATAATAATACTGTATATATATTATGATGCTATTTCAACACATTATATTGAATTTATTCGTACAGATATTAATCGCTGGATCGTGATTAATAAACCATTCTGTATATTATTTTTGCATATAAATTCGACGAAATTATTATTTTTGTGATAATTATTGACTCGATTTTAGGTGTGCGATCAATGGTAATAATTATTAAATCAAAAAACCGTAAAATATATATATATTTTTTTTTTTTTAAAAGGAGATATTTATTTACACATAACTACAAGAAATATTACATGGGTATAACAGTTAAATATTCACGTTCTTATTAAGTTTACAACGTTGATAAATTCGTTTTGCGTTTCGATTTGTCGTCGTGCTGTTGAAACTCGGCCGAAACGAATAAACTCGGATCCGTCAGATCAGTAGAATCCATACGGGGAAGCGTAACCGGTGTACGAGGGGTAAGCTGTGTACGAAGACACGTACGAAGAAGTGTACGGGGCGGCGACAGCGTACGGGGCAGCCGCGTACGGGGCGGCGTACGGGGCGGCGTACGGGGCGGCGTACGGGGCGGCCACGTACGGGGCGGCGTACGAGGCTGCGTACGGGGCCGCGTACGGTGCGTATGCCGGGGCGTACGGTGAAGTGACGAGCGGAGCGTACAGGCCGCGTTTGCTTCGGTCGGCGGCGGACTTGGTGGCGGCGGCGGCGGCCGCGGGCTTGGCTTCTTCGGCGGCGGCGACGAAGCACGCGGCCAGAGCGAGCAGGATGAATGACACCTGAAACGAAAAACATCAAATTAAATGTTTACAATCGCGCCGGGAGCCAAGACGGAATGAGAACCGCGAGTGTCTGCTGGTAAGACAACGGGTTTTTTACGGCGCGCGGATAATATCCTATTGAACAATCGAGCGATGGCAATGTGCAACAGTGCGTCGCGAATGACCGTCGAAAAATCGCAAAAGACGAGTGAAAATTACGTTCGGCGGCGTCGGCGGCGTCCGTCGACGCGGTCGGAAACGCGCATTGACTGTTCGGAAATATTAATAATATTCGCTCGGGACCGCCGTCTCCGTTCAACGGTCGCGGGCGTTGGCGGGCGGTACACTTACTTGGAATTTCATGGTGACGGCGGCGGCGGCGGTTTTGACGGGTTTTCGATTTGTGTTAGCGAACGAAAACGGACGGTTGACGACTGATGCTCGGTTGCCGGCCGTCAGCCCCCTTATATACGGCCGGTCCGGTTGACCGACGCCCGAATTCGTTATTCTCCGCGCATCGAAAATCCATTACAATACCGCCGTCGACAATGCCAAAACAGCTGAACGCCATCGCGATCGCATTACTATAATATATTGCGTATAACGCGATCGCGATTGCGCAATGAAATATGACCAGGTACTCCTATTCGTTATGTGTACATACCAGGGTCCGTGATTCGCGCGTATACGACGTTTTACACGGCACACACGCATACGACTACATAGCGGCTGAGATATTAGGTTTTTTTTTTTTTTTTTTTCACGTACGGCCTGGACAATGACGGAGTATGGTGAGTGTGAGCGATCGGAGTGATGATAATCGGACGGAAAAAATTATTATTAAATAACGTACAAACGAAATAAAAAAAAAAAAAAAAAGACGACCTTGGATAATGGGGTGCAGCTACTGTTATAAGTAATTTAATGTAATTCAACGATAAACCACCGTTAACGAAAAAAACGATTCTGAGCGCAGTTCGGTTGGTTGTGTTGCTTCGTCAACAGTATGCACGCCGTATTGTGGTAAAATAATTATGTGTGCATTAAACATTAGCTCCGTTTCGTCAGCCCTGCCACTTTCGAATTTTACTTAAATAATATTTGTTTAACATTTAACACCTATTTTACTGTTCTCCCGTTTTTTCTCCGTTTATGTTTTGGCTAATATACCGAGAAAACTCTTGAGAAAATCAAAAACCACCTGCTTAATGTACCTCCCCAGTAAAACTTCCTTTCAGAAAAATTGCTACACTTGTAAAACTTCGGGTAGAAATTTTTTTCGCAGAAAAAAAAAAAAATAATAATAAACACCATTGTGAAATCATAATCTTTTTCGCTCCACTTCTTAATCTAAAAAACAGCAGTTCGCAGTTCGCGCGTGCCATCATTCCAATGAAATAACGAGATTGGAATGTGTAAGAAAAGTGTGCCTCAAAAAGTTACATTTAACTTGAGCTCTAACAGCGACATGTTTGAACGAAAAAATATTTAAGATAATTTTAGATTCTGAATGGAGCGAAGAAGTTTATGGTTTCATAATGATGTTTATTTGTATTTTTTTTTTTTTTAACTGCGAAAAACTGTTATACTAGAAATATTGCTCCGATTTACAAGTGTAGTACTTTTTACTAAAGGAAATTTGACTGGGGAGGTACATTAAGTAAGTAGGTGGTTTTTTTGTTTTTCTCAGGAGTTTTCTCGATATATTAGAAAAGTCAAAAATAAACGGAGAAAAAACGGGAGAACGGCAAAATGGGTAATTACAATATTAAACAAATATTATTAAAGTAAATGTTTAACGCATATGTAATTATTTTACGATAATATGGCATATATTATATTGTTAACATAGCAACATTATCAATTAAACTCCGCTCAAAATCGTTTTTTCGTTAGCAATGGTTTATCGTTGCATACAGATATGCATTAAATTCCCGTCTGTATCTTACCTTCCCAACTTTCCACTTACAACAGTGGCTGCACCCACGTGCGAAGTATGGCTATCTTTTTTAAATTTGATCGAACATTAAACTCGATTTATTTACTTTGATTTTATTAAAACACCAGCATATTTTCAACTACACCTCTCTTGAGACCGTCCTAAATCTATATGAAGTGGGAAGGAATTTATGTTATCAAAAATGGAAGACGTTTAGAAATAGATCTATTTAAAAATATTTATTTTCGAATCATTTATTACGTTTTCAAGTATTTTTACAAATTTGAAAACGTAGTTTTTGCCATACTATGTACTTATTCATGCGGGCGTTAGCAGTCGAAATTACATAAAAAATGCATAATGTTTTAATTTCTGTGAAATTATCTGTTTTTAACCAGTTAGGTACCTACGTGACGGTTTCACGATATTATTAACACGTCAATAACATTTCATATTTGTGTGCATTTGATATTTGTATGAACTATATTATTTTATTTTACACAAACGGCCTTGTCCAAATAAGTTCAAAACGTAATAGATAATACATTTTAATTTTATTATAGAAATATTTCGTACAATACAATATAAGAACTTGTACAGTTAACGATTGTTCAAGTGAAAACAGGACGTGAGGAATCGTATCGCAAGGTCATTGCCGTAATAATATTAATATACTTAAATAAAATAACTAATAAACTATATTGTAACATACGACCTATTGCATACCTTAAAATACGCTTTAAGAATTCCTAATGGCTATTGTGCAGGACGTCGTGGTAGATCATATTAAAATCTCTCAATTCTATGTAAATTCTATTCGAAATGTCAATATTTCGTAATAGTATAACAAGGCCTATAATACGAAGGTATTATTATATGGATTCAGTTTATACAATTTTACTGGGCTGGGAACGTTAAGTGACCAGATTTTCACCGGTTTTCCGGGCTACCTACAATTTTCAAAAATATTAACATATTTATTTTTAACGTTTTAATGTGCATCATAAATACGCCTTGTATATAGAACTTTCTGCCAATCTACTCCACGATACCCATTTCGGGGAAATGAATTCGTCGTTTTTACGGAGAGAAATGCGTGAACGTTATCGGGATAAATCGTTGCTAACATAATATTTTCCAATCATTCTTTTTTAAAAAGACGTAATATATGTAGTTTGAGATGTAAATATTTAAAAACGGAGTTCTAATACGTTCCATAGAAAGTATTCCTTTTTCCAACAAGGTTATACATAATTATCGAAATTGGAACGCTCTTCGGGATATGACAGTTTTTCCGGTGGAGCGCGATCGCGCGCGGTCCTTATCGGCGATACCCTTTTAGACGTATGATTGGGCGTGCTACATAATTTTTACTTCCACGCAGCGTTGCCAAATAATACAAATTATACTGCATACACGCAGTACTCATTTAAATAACATATTAACAGCAAACTTTTATATTGGATCCATAAGAGTTACCTTGAAGACCAGCACTGTTTTAGGTTATATTTTATTACTGTTTTCAGATTCTGAGTGAAGCGAGGAATGAATTAGTTTTTATAATCTGTGAACAACTTTTTTACCAGAAATTTTGTTCCGATTTTCAATTACTTATAGCACTTTTTCTGAAAAAACATCCGACTGGGGTGGTACTTTAAAGAGGTCATGTTTTGTTTTTCCCAGCTGTTTTTATAATAAATGGGAAAAACCGGGAAAATAGGTACAATATTAAACAAATATTATTGAAGAAAATATATAATGCACGTGTAATTATTTTACCATAATATGACGTATATTATATTGATGAAAAAGCAACATTATTAACAGAACTCCGCTCAGAATCGTTTTTTGCTAGTAATGGTTAATTATAGCGTACAGATATACATTAAATTTCCCCTCTACCTTCCCAACTTCTCATCTACTACAGTGGCCCGCCGTGGGAAGTATGTCCGTATCTTTTTTTTCTTTTATAACGAAGAACAATTTTTGAATTGTTTGCTATTTTATTTTATTTAAATACACGTAACGATTTTGACAACGTTTACAATATATTTTTAGATTCGATGCATATTTTTTGAAAACAAGGATAATCAATGTAGTTTATCACAAGGGGAATATGAAAATTATAGCAGGTACTTATTTTCAATTCGGAACACCATAATGTACCCTATTGAGTAAAAATAATATATATTATATTATTTATGCGATGGTACCAGCTATTCAATTGTTGTACAGATTCTAAATGAATACTATGTTAAAAATAAGAATTAAAATAATTACAATCATTATTGAAATTAACTTGAAATAGCATAATTTAATAACTCATCATTTTTATTAAGTTAATTATTTAGGGAAAAGTTAAATTAAGAGGACGTTATGCCCGCATCTTCCGTTTCAGTCCAGCTACCGGATGTAAAAACAATGCTTACGCAGAATAAGTAAAACTAACTTAATTTTTAGAACAACTTTTTAGAGGGAAGGTCATAGGGTTTTTATATTATTCAAAATATGCAACTCGTTATAAAAGATACAAAAACCCTTATATTTTTTTTATAACTAACTTTTTTAATAGTTTATAATTCAAAAACCATTTATGAAATTCCCTCCAAAATATTGTTCTCTATAAATTTCATAATTGGTACTTTTACTCTAAAATCAAAATTAAGCTAGTTTCACTTATTCTGCTTAAGCATTGTTTTTGTATGTTACCAGGTAGGTTGGATTTAGACAATAGATGCGGGTATAACGTCCTCTTTCTCTCAGTATTGATGACTGTGTACTTTTAAGTCAATTAAAACCTAAAAACCAGATAAAAGTGTACGAAAAATGTTTGACAGATTTAAATTTTGAAAACGGATTTAAAATCCATTATAAAATGTGATGGAAATAAAAATTAAATTTATTAATGGATATCATACAAATTTGATTATATTTTTGAAAATATTTGAAAAATAACCTAAAGTATTTATTTATTTGTAAAGTTATTTACAAAAGAATTAATTAATTTATAAATTAATTTAAAGGTAATAATAATGCATTTCTAAAATTTAAATCCGTTAAACGTAATTTCGATATTTTTGCCTGGACGGCTGTTTTCCTTTAAATGGGTATCGATCAGTAAATTAGTGAAAAAACCTGACTATTAAGGTGGTCATTGAAATGTAAAATAAATGTTGATACTTTTTTTTAAAATTGGAGGTATTTTTGAAAACCGAAAACAAACCAAAAATCATAATCAAACGTTTTAACCTAAGTTAAAAGTTAAAATTAGTAAAATTTTAACTTTTTCACTTGCTAATACCTTCGAATTTTAAACCTATACACGGAAAATGATGTAATTATTTTATTATTTCTTGCGAGAATAAAGTTATGCATTTGTGTTAAATTATGACCTGCAGAGAATCTGAGAATACCACATGGAAAATTTAAATCTTTTAAATATTTTTCAAATTAGTAAAAAAACAAATTAAAACTGTAAAACAATATTTTATTGTATTTCCAAATATAATCATTATAAAGATTTAATATTAATTTAGGCAATAGTTTTTGTTTTTATTATAAAACATTAAATGTTAATATTTTAATGGATTATATTTAAGTAATTATATGTATTAAATATTACATACTATACATTATAAAACATTACTATTATAGTACAATACAGGTCGTATACGTTTTGGTATAAAAGTGTATTTCATTTTTATTTGAAACCGTATTATAGCAATTTGCCTATTATATTAAGTAGGTACATTGAACTATTTTTTTTCTTTTGTATCATCAAAAATAAATCAATATATTTGTCGTTTGGGGTTAGCTTATACTCTTGATGGCTTAATCACATGTTTGGTAGGACAATACAATTTTCAATTTAACTTTATTAAAACAAGTTGAACCAAATTTTAATTTGTTCACTCAGAACCATTTTCCGTTTGCAATGAATTTTCGTTTATTATAATGCACTAAATTATCATTTATATCATACCTTCCACCTACAGCTGTGGCTTTTAGCTTTAGAATAGTGACCGTGACATTTTGTATTATTTATTTAGTCCCTTTCTCGAGAAATTGCTAGGTATACAATCGTTGGATTTTATTTTCTATATATCTTGCCTACTAGTTTATAACCTAAGTTTGAGGTCTCTGTATATAAAGTATATCTAGTGTATTAAGTAAATTAATAATTCTTAAACTATATTGTAAATAGAAATACGCATTATTGATCAATTTCTTTCAAGGTTTGATTAAACTCACACATTTCGAAAAGAAAAATATTTGTTTGGAGAGTTGTGACGTTTTAATATATACTATAGGGTGTTCATAATTTGTTTTGTACACAAAATTATCTACAAATACTATTGTGTCCCGTATTATTCAATACCATATCAAAACGCTTCTTAACTTAACATGGTATCCCGATGTAATATGTAAGATACCAAAGTATGTTTTATCGTAATCATATGTGTTTTTTTTTTTTTTTTTTTATACCGGTGTCTGTAGTTTTCGGTAAGCGGTCGGGATATAAGGTATAGTTTGGTGCTGAGAAACAAATATACGTGTGTTTACGGTGAAGAATTAAACTTTTATTTACATGTAAACAAAATAATATTACATATTTAGATGTGCATTCTAATCGCGGTTAAACAATTTTTTTTTTTACAATTATTTCGGTAAGACGTGGCTTATTGAGAGAGCTGATATCTTACGACGACGGTGTTAATGACGGATTCGGCCATCTTCGCTCGTTCACGGGTAGTAAGTGTACGGGGAAGCCAAAGTCTTGGCCACGTACGGGTAAGAGGTGTACGACGAGACGTACGGAGAGGCGTACGGGGAAGCGAGTGCGTACGGGGCGGCCGCGTACGGGGAGGCAACGTACGGGGCGGCGGCGTACGGGGAAGCTACGTACGGGGCTGCGGCGTACGGGGCTGCGGCGTACGGTGCTGCTACGTACGGGGCGGCCACCAGCGGGGCGGCTAACAGACCGCGTTTGCTCCGGTCGTTGGCGGATTGAGCGGACGACTGCGACGATTTGACATCTTCGGCGGCGGCGGCGGCGGCGAAGCACACGACCACGGCGAGCAAAGCGAAAGATACCTATAATGTACAAGAGCGTATTATTAGACATTATTATAGAACGTGTTTGGATTCGAAAGACGAAAATTTCGGACGAATTATCAAAAGAAAAGAAAAAAAAAAAAAGAGTACTTACTTGGAATTGCATGGCGATTTCGTGCGGTTGAGTGCGCTGGCGAACGGGTGTCGACGAAATGTTACTGTTGTATGGCCGCGGATGACGGACGGACGACGAGTGATGCTAACCGCCGGTCGGAGGGTCCGTTTTATACCGTCCGGTCGCCCCATAGTGACGCCCGATTCGCCATTCTGCACGCGCGACAAACGTTCGTCGTAATACCGATAGTGTGGGCGTCCAATTACAAAACGGACGCCGGTGCCAAGATATATTACGATATCGTGACATCAAGATAAATGTCACAGAGGCCGTTTGAAATTTTATCTTCCAGACGGGCCGCCATTGTTTGCCAAATTTCTCGAACGTTGTATAATATTATGCAGGCACGGACACGGAATATTATTATCACTCTTGTTATTATAATGTAGGCAGGTAGATATGACAAATACATTTCGTCCGTATCACAACCGCAGTTGTTGACAAACACACACAGACAACATGCGACCAGTTTAACGTGTATAATATTTCGTCGTAATTTCGGACAAACGCAACTCGCGGATATCGTTTGCCTTTTATTGCGTATTTCGCAATGAACAATATAATCGCATTTGATTTGTACACCTAGTTTTGTTCAAAATTCACTTGTTTGGCTTGTTTCACGATCACTTTTGCACGATTGCAATCGTTCAGGGCCGGCGATGGAGGGGCTCGTGGGAGAGAGTAATAGCCCCATACTTGGAAATTTAGACTATCGAATTTTGGTCATTCCACGATAGTTTAATTTTTAATCCGGAAAAACTAACAGTTTTTTTGGCTGGTATTTTCTCACCTGGTTATCATTTTATACAACTCTCGTATAATGTATTACTTATCGCTGACCAAAACGCATTGGAGTCGGTACATATTCAATTATATCCCTTCATCGGTTTTCGGTAGCGCGAGTTTTGACTAATATGCAAATGATTGCATAAAAAAATTGATATTCGAAGTATTTTAACAATTCGAAAAAGTTTTAAATCACCAAATTATGATAAATAAGTTATTTACAACAAAAAAAAAAAATGACGAAAATTTTCCTCCATCGAACCTGGTGTTTTAAGATAAGTCATTATTTTCCAGTTTTCCGTGTGTTTTAAGTTATGTCGCATATTGCAGCAACGACTTAAACTACACGGCGTTTTTCAAGTGCACCGTGTAAAAAAAGTTAAGGTAAATTAATTCATATTACACGTTTCCTGAATATCGTTTCAATTAAGTTAAGTCACTGAAAAATAATTTAAAACAATGTTCATATTATGTCAAGTAACTTTTTATTTTATTTTTTAAATTGATAAAAAAAATTTAAAAAAAGGAATTTTGAACGTTGAAATTTAAAAATTATTTTAAACATCAAATCTCACAGTACTTAAATTATAGAAAAATGTTGAAACGCTGATCTTGCTTTTTCAGTTGAAGTTTATATTTGCTCTACTGAAAAGTACTGAATCGCATTGACCATTTTCACGCGCACCAAGCGAAAACAAGGTTTTAACGAACATTATTTTTTAATTATCCAAAAAGTACGATTTCACGCGTAATACATTTTAAATTAATAATAATGTACTACCGTATAATATTATAATAATAATTATCATAACGATTTAATTTCTCGAAGTTTAGTTACGCTCTCCTGCGAGCATAATATAGTTTTGTGTTTTGTACGACGCCTAGTTGTTTAGTTTTGAATATTTTTTATAAGATCGATCATTTTTTACTGTTTTAAACGGATAGGTACAAAAGAGTGTTCTGTCCGACTATCGAACGATTCCCGAACGTCTTTCGAACCGTTCTTTTGTTGACAGTTTATTTCCAGTGTAACGGCTTTGGTTTAAAACCAAAAAAAAGATTTTAGAATCGGAGTGTAGTAAGTAATGTATTGGTTAAAAATTATATTTATTTATTATTCTTTCTTAATGTGTACAATTTTATTTAGTTTGTACTTTAGAGAGGTCATTTTTTAATTTGCCAAGCGATTTTCATAATAATTGGGAAAAACGTAGTAATAAATCGCCGCGGCGTAACGATTTCATAATTTTATAGTTTTGTAACATATGTTTTCTATCAGAAATATTGCTTCAAGAAAAAAATGACATGACATCATTGTTATTGAATTTTCAATCTAGCTGGGGAATAAGATAGTCTATTTTTCGATTTTTCAAGTAGTTTCTACAATAATTACAAAAAACCGGAAAAAATTGATTAATATTTACGGCAACGTAGTGTCCCAGTTTAATTATTTTAAATGTTCAACTTATGTTTTCTATCAGGAATATTATTCCAATCGAAAAATTAACACATAGCCATTGACAAAGAAAGTTGTTTTTTGATATCTTAAGTACTTTTTTTTATAATAATTGGTAAAAACAAAAAATGACAAAATATACGATTTTTTCAAACCACGGCAAGATTTCATCATTTTAAATATTTGCGGCTTATGTTTTCTACCATAAATATTACTCCGATAGATAAATGACAAGAGACCTTTTTTTGTAAATTTTGTAATCTAGTTGATGAACAAGAGAGTCGTTTTTTTGATTTTCTTTGTAGTTTTTTTTAATAATTAAGCAAAACAGAAAAAAAATGCAAAAAGTACGGGAAAATGTTCGAAATTTTACTTTTATTTTTTTCAATGTTGTTTTTTTTGTTGTCATTCATTTGAACAAATTCGTTGAGACTGGACATTTGGACGAAAACTTACAATTGCCATTTTTAGACTTGGTATAGTTTTCAAAACATTCAAGTCATTTTTGAGCTATTTATAGACGTTTTAACTAGCGGGTACTTCGTGGATAAAATTGTTAGACTAAATAGAAATGCATGGAAATTTAATAGGTTTACAATAACCTGCGGTGAATTTTTTTTTATAAAACGTACTCTGTGGTTAAAAAAAAAAAAATTTAAAACTGAGTGTAATATAAAATTGCATTTTATGAGGATATTAAATTTTTACGAAAATCTTAAATATTACGGCTCTTTAAATAAATTTAAAACATATGTATAACAGATTTCCGCTCCGAATCGTTTTTCGTTAGCAATGGTTTTATTGTCGTTTATGACTGCAGATGTAAATTAAATTATCCTCTATTTCTCCTCTATTCTCCTGCCTTTCCAACTTCTCACTTACAACAGTGGTTCACTCGTGGTGCGAAGTTTGTCCCTATTTTTAAATATAAATGTATATACTATGTATACTTATATATAAATGCATGCTTTTGAAAAAAAATAAAAATCGATTACGGTTATTTATGTTACAACGGTTAAGTGCAACATTTGTTTTTATTATTATCACATTAACATGTCAACGGGTATTTATCAATATAATTTTACTGTTTTTCCTCGATAAACTCGTTACAGTTATGGTTTTAACGTATTGTAGGCAGTTTAACGTAAAATCAAACATTAACAATTTATATATTATATTCATAAGTTACTCCAACAACTATAATTAACGTTTGATCGCGTGATGAAATATGTAATAACCGAACGAAACGATTATTTAAGAACATAATACGAGTATTATTAAACGAGTATTAAACGGGTGTTATAGATGCGTGATTTTTTTTTTTTTTTTTTAAATAAAACTTTATATGGCGGTTAATAAATTTAATCAGCTAGTGCAATCAAATAAATTGTTTTTTGTGTGTTTGTTCGCGCGCGAAGGAGTGTTTGTGTTTTGAGTGTAGTGTACGACAAAAACTATAATATGACACTCCAAGATGTGCGATTCCGAAAGTATAAACGGAAAAATGTATTGATATCACATTTGAATCGGACTTTAGATCATGATGAGTGTAACGATGAAGTTGTTAGTTTTGACCAAGATGCCTATCCCGTCCTCCCTCCCGTCTTTTTTTTTAAATTCCCAACATTAACAACATGTATAGTTTCCACGACAACTAGCCGGCTCAGAATTGTTTTCTGACTCGAAGTATTAAACGGTAAATACATACTGTATACAAACTAATTTATCTTTTATATCATTTGACTTTACAACTGTAGAATACGTATACTAATGGTATATATACCTATGCTGTGGAGGCACGGCAAATTTTAGATTCTGAGCTGGCCGAGGAATGTATTGATTTTACAATGATTTTTTTTTTTTTTTTTTGAACAATTTTTTTACCAGAAATTTTGTTCTAGAAATCTGACTGAGGTGACACTTTATGAAGGTAATTTTTTTATTTTCACAGATGTTTTCATAATAAATGAAAAACCCGGGAAAAAAACGTAGGAAAATTTACGAAATGTATTATTATTTGTGTATATATTATATAATGTATTATTTTCAAATCTTAAATATTACGGCTTTTTAAAACATGTATTTGTATAACCGTTACCATTTACTTCGTGTGAAGTATGTCCGTTTATATTTAAATTTCAATTTCTATAAACTGGTTGACGCGGTCCAGGTATTTTCGGACTTTTTTCCCATCGATAGTTGGCTTCCCTCGGATATACGGATAAAAAAAAAAAATAAATACCGTTTTAACGGTTGTCATGGGCAATTTAAATTTTATTTTCATTAATATTTTGGCTGTCATCGCTGTGACGAAGCTCTAATATTTCGTCCATTATTCAATTTCTATAGGAGGCTGAATAAGCAATAATAGAAACAGAAATAATATATTACAAAAGTCATTTAACGATAATAATTATTAATAAAACGATTGTCTAAATAGCTCACCCCCGGAGAGACACTGAACTTTACAAATTCGTCTGCAGATATAATTGTATAATTAATATTATTATAATTAATTTTCGTCGGTTCTTTATTTTTATAATGACGTCTGATGACAAGTATATTATCTATACGGTGTACTGAGACCACCACGGTAAGTAGTACGAAAAATGTTAATATCAAAATTATGCAAGTCGTTTTCGTCTTCCGGTCTTCAATCTATCGATTGGTAGACTGTAGCTTTTCACGATTATCCGTCAAAACTCAACTCCTATTTTACGGTAGACTGAGATACAAATATAGGTTAGAGGCCCTAAAGTTTAAACAGGAAATTTAATAATTTTTTTGCATATTTTAACAATGTTCTACAAAAAACCAATTCGATTGTAAACATATTTTACACGTTTATTTTTTTTTTTGGGGGGGGGGGCAAGAAAAAGAGCTCATACTGAAGTCTGGTACGTCCACTGTTTGAAGGTGGGTAGTTGGGAGGGTGGGATACATACAGTTATATAATTTATATCTTTAAGCAATGATAAACCATTGCTAACGAAAAACTATTCTGAGCGGAGTTCAGTTGATAGTGTTGCTTTGTCAACAATTTATATGTACTGATGTCATATTATGGTAAAATTATTACAACAATGAGCGTTTCTATGACAAAAATGATTGTTTAAAAATATCTAAAATAATAAAAACTTTATCATAACAAAAAATAAATAAAAATTGTTGCCACTGAAAACCTTGTTTTTAATCTTTCAATATTTTTCAACCTAAAGAACCAGATTTTGGCCGTTCCCTCAAATGTTAATGAGAATTTAAAAAAAATGACCCCCTTTAATGTACGTTTCCTTTCAGAAAATGCGCCATACTTGATAGTCGGAGTACGCTATCCGGTAGAAAGAGCGTTCGCGTAGAAAAAAAAATAAAATAAACATCATTGTAAAACCAATACATTCTTCGTTCCGTTCGGAATCTAAAAATTTGACCGCGTGTCCGGCGTGTCAAGGTTTTTGGTTTTTTGGAACGAAATCGGAGACCCGGCCACACGAAAATATTACGTGGTGCCGCGGCGTCGCGCGGAACAGAATAGAATGTAATTCGATTTACATTACGGAGACAAAAAAAAAAAAAAAAAACCATCGCATCCTGCCAACGAATTTCGATTAACCGATTCGCGTACGTTGGCGACCGCGTATTCGGAGTAGCCGGCACGCGTAATTGTATTACGGGCGGCCGCCACACTGTTGTGTCGCGTTTAACACGCGAATGCCCGAGCGCAATTCAATAGACCGCCACGCGCCGCACGGGCGCGATTTGTTATTCGTCGATCGTCGTCAGTGATAAAGACGACAGCGACTGTTCCGTTTCGCCGTCATTGCGTTTGAAAGCGCGCGTCGGACCCGTCCCGTCCCGTCCCGTCCGCCCGCCGAAGGTGAATCGGCGGAACTCGCGCGGAATAAACGCGACGGACCGGGTAGCGCCCGTTTGGCCCCGGCCGACGCGGCCGCCCGCACGTTTTCACCGAGAAACCGGCGACGCTGCCAAACGAGCGACGGGCGCGCGCGAAAACCGATAATCGATACGTTGTAAAATCGCGGGACACTAAAACGTCTGTGTATTAAAACTGATCGATTTTGTAATGACTTTCGCCACTCGGGCGCGGACAAGATAGCAGTACGCGTTTCACTTTTATCGACGACCGGCGTGATCGTTTATTCATTGTTTTCGGATCCCGAGCGAATGCGTTTGGTTTTTTTTTTAAACTAGGGACGAGGGACTACAAATATTTATTTTTAAATTCCATTTTTTTTTTTTTTTTTGTAAAAAATGAACTCTTCATTTTATTATTTTCGGAAAATTTGAAAATAGCCATTCTGTAGAGTTTATTATCGCGTAACGCGGTTAGATTGTTCCCTAGATCGCGCCGATCTTCACACGGATTAGTAAAATTTAAAACGGCTGTTACTTAGAAACTATTCATCAGATATAAATTTGTGATGCGTTAAAATTTCCAAAAAATTAAACTCTACAGAAAAACTATCTTAAAATTTTCCGAAAATAATAAAATAAAAACTTAATTTTTTTAATCAGAATTTGATTATTTTTATTATCTCCGGGGGTATTCAAGGGGTATATCTTCGCGGGACAGCCTGTATCCCGTATATAGTGATGCGGGAATGATTCTCCTACTGCGGACAAGCTTTTCGTCGGAAATCTTGCACCGGTTGTCAACTTAAGAGATGGTTTCTGGTAGAAAATTTCGTCAATTCGACGTGTTTGTGAGGGGTTAATTTTTGACTTAACATTTTTTTATAGTTTTCTTAATAACGGGGAAAACCGAAAAGACAGATTATAAAACCGGGAATATTAAATCATTTTACGCAACAACGATGTTCCTGTTAAAATCGATTTTGTATTTTATTGTACGAATCGCTTTTACTATGAAATGTGTTTATTTTTAGATTCTGTCTTTGAAGAACTTTTCTTGTTTCATTATCTTGCTTCAATCGAAAAATGACAAGAGAACTTGTTTGTTGCATTAGTTGCAATTTACATAACAATTGGGAAACCTAGAAAAAAAAAACCCCCGTAATGGCAAACTAAACAAATTTACGGCGTTAACGGCATGAGTTTTTATTTATTCGATTTTTGTTTCTGTTTTTGTTTTTTTTTTTTTACCACAAATTTACCAGAACCCGGGAGGGGACTAAGAAATCACAGGAAAGTTTTCTCCGTAAACGGTTTCAGAATTTATGATTTGGATTAATTTTTGTTTGAATGATTAGCGATTAGCCTCTCAAGTCAAACCTTCAAAATAGTCTGTCCATTTTTTAACATTTTACAGGTATTAGAAATTATCCAACCTTTTTTTTTTTTAATTTTAATTCATATCTTTGTTTTGTATATTTCGATATCTCTAATTATTGGCCTTTACATTTCTTTTTATTTGTCGGGTCATCAGATTTTATATAAACCAGTAAACGCATTTATGCGCTAATGAAATTGAAAACCAACTGATAACTAGATAACTATTTTATTGTTTGTATTTGGAGACAACGGGATATCCGCACACAGTAATACGCTTATAATAAATAATTTTAATGCTGTGACATTTTTGTGCTAGTGACATTTCGACATAAATTCATTTAAGACAAGGTTGTTCATAAGTTGTAATTAGTGCGGAAAAAAGTTAAACGTAACGGAGTAGTTTTTTTATAAGCATTTAAATTTATGTGTTTAAATTTTGACGAAAATCGTAAAAATGACGACATTTCGAAATATGTATAACCGAATGTCGCCCAGAATAGTTTTTTATTAGCAATAGTTTACATAGCGTATAGATATAAATTAACTGACTAAATGTATTCTACTTTCGCAATATTTTTATTTGATAAAATATATTGCAGAGATCTTCATCGAACATTTAAACTAGCACTTTTTAAACGTGATAGAAAATTCAAATGATTCTGACGTTTCTTTAAAACTATTATGAGACATTTTAAATTTTGGTTGACACATTTTTTTGGCTATGATATTGTAATATTTGTCCCGATTATTTTTATTTCATAATAATTTGTTCGTATAGGTATATGTAAACATTGCAATTTATAACTGGTATTTGTAATTACATTAATTACATTAAATCCTAGTTATTTCTTACGATTGCGTATTTTGGTCACTATTTTTGTCTCACTCGAATTTCGGCTCGAATAATAATAAGAAATTTAAGTAATTTTTCTTCATTGTGATACCCCCATCAATACTTGTACAGTTTAAACCTAGAGATTTAATTTTTTTTTTCAATTTAGTACCTAAAGCTAATGGTTGTTTTTTTGGTTGCGTGTTTTCGTTTTCTAAATATTAATTTCTCTGAAAGATAACTAGACATGTATTTAAAATGAAGAGAAATAATGCCCAAACCGTATGAACTATTTATATCGGAATTTAAAATACTGTATTTAAATATCACCGATACTTGTATCGTGTATTTTGTGTCGACTAAATATAAAAATTATATCATGTATCGAGGTGCTCTTCTTTGAGTGATTTTCGTTGCCCGGCATATTGTTATTCATTAAAATACTCTTTAATATTATTGGTACAAACAATTTGATACATTGTGTACAATAATATTGTGTACCTATTATGTATACAATGTTATGTATACAATACATTGAAAGAAATATGTGTTTTAACAATTTTACAGTACTTAAAATACAACTAAAAGAAAAATGTTTTTAAAATCATATTGCTTTTGGTTAGGTACGTATTTTGTTTTTTATTATATGGACTAATCGATGGTCTCTGTCAGTGATCGGGTTACAAGTACGCAGCTACGTATAGCAGTAAATAAAACAAAAATGTATACGATATGTGAATAATAGAAATTTTATTTACATGTCAACAAAATAATATTACATATTTTTGAATAGATGTGCATTCTAATCGCGGTTAGACAATTTTTTTTTTTACAATTATTTCGGTAAGACGTGGCTTATTGAGAGAGCTGATATCTTACGACGACGGTGTTAATGACGGATTCGGCCATCTTCGCTCGTTCACGGGTAGTAAGTGTACGGGGAAGCCAAAGTCTTGGCCACGTACGGGTAAGAGGTGTACGACGAGACGTACGGAGAGGCGTACGGGGAAGCGAGTGCGTAAGGGGCGGCCGCGTACGGGGAGGCAACGTACGGGGCGGCGGCGTACGGGGAAGCTACGTACGGGGCTGCGGCGTACGGTGCTGCTACGTACGGGGCGGCCACCAGCGGGGCGGCTAACAGACCGCGTTTGCTCCGGTCGTTGGCGGATTGAGCGGACGACTGCGACGATTTGACATCTTCGGCGGCGGCGGCGGCGGCGAAGCACACGACCACGGCGAGCAAAGCGAAAGATACCTATAATGTACAAGAACATGGACCGATTTTAGACATTTATTTTTTCAATAAACTTAGGAATTAAAATTTAAAAAAAAAAACAGATAATTGGACGGCAAACAATTTAAATTATGCACGGAGTTACAAAAAATATAGCTGCTGAATAACGATTTGATAGCAATTGTAGTTTACACGGCTTGTATAATAAAATCGACCAAACTCGTCGGCGCTGTGACCGGTGTACTCGGCACCATAATATTTGACCGAGGGACTTACGTGGAATCGCATGGTGGATTGGTTTTGGGTCTGGGTGCGGTGCGCGAGTGTGGATATTGTTGAATGACTGCAAAAGACAGACGGACGACTGATACCAATCGCAGGTCGTAGGGCCCGTTATATACTGGCCGTTTGGCCTCCCGCGCAGCGCGTCCGATTACGTAAAGATCGTCCGCGTTTTTCAAAGCATCGCCACGGCCGCTACCACCGCCACTGCTGCCACTGTTTCCACTACCACCGTACCGCCAATGTAATACGGGTACAAGCACATTCCGTTTATTGTTTTGGTCCGTTCGCGCGAACGGTAAGCCGACGACGCCCCCGAAAATTATATTTAACAGTTCGATACAGGGTACCTTCATGCGAGTTGTGCTCGGCGAAATTCTTTACAACCGCCGCGACGACGTAATATTATATCACGTTTCACAGTTGCCGGTCAATGTACGGTTTTCAACTTGCATTTTTATCGAAAGTCTAACCAACCGAATTGCGCACAAAATCGTTTTCCGCTTGGGAATCGTTACACTCGGTTCCGTTTTATTCAGTCTAAAAATGCCATTCATTGATTTTATCAAATTTAATCCGCTCGGGAAAACGTAGGTCGCGTTTTATTTCACGAGGGATTCGAACGCACAAAGATTATCATATAACTTGTTGCCAGATAAATATGAAGATTTATACAATATTTTATTTATCCATCGTTTTCTGTTTCTTTAAGCTTTCTTACACGATCTAGGAACTCGAATGTTTCATCGTAAGTGGTTAACTAGTAAATATATAAGTTTAACGACCTTTATGCTAAACTTTTTTACGCTTGTTGTACAATAATAATAAAAACCGGTACGAAATTTGTTTTTCGACAATAATGTTGTAGGTGTTTTATTCGAATTTTTTTTCCAGTTAGAACATATAGCATTTTATTAGTGTTTAGAGTTGTGGTCTTTAAATTACGATTTACGTACACAAGTATCACAGATCAATATTATCATTATAGGTATAGTCTGTAAAATAATATAATATTAATAATATTTTTTTTCTGAATTATAATATTTGTTCAATGATAAATATTTTTTTTTTTATGTGTTAGGCCCTTTTTTTTTTGGTGTGGGTGCACCGGTAGCACTGCCCTTACGTTGGTCCTAATTAGTATAAGTATTATATATTAATGCGTGTAGTCAAAAATTAGAAGTATATACTAAAAATATATAAAGGTACAGGTATTGTCATGTGACAAATTAAAAACTGTTGAATTTTCTTAATTTTTTAAATAAGATAAATATCTATGATACGTAACGAAAAAATTGTTATTTATCACATTTGACCAAGATGACATACACTTTGTGAAGAAGGTATCTACATCGTAAGTGATCTTAAGAATGCTGATCATACAAGAGATCTTAATAAGCTGTCCTAGGATAATGGAGTCGGGTGCAGCCACTGGTATAGGTGAGAAGCTTGGAAGATAGTAGAGAAGAACTTTAATTTATGTCTGAGTGAAGTTCGTTTGATAGTGTTGATTTGTGAACAATATATTATATGGTAAAATAATTACATATACATTATACCTATATTTTCTTTAATAATATTTGTTATTATCGTACCTGTTTTACCGTTTATCTGCTTTCTTCCCGTATTTTTTTTTTCCCGGTTTTTTTTATTATTTATTTTGAACAATTTTTAGAAGATCAAAAATTACCTCTTCAAAATACCTCCCTAGTTAGATTGCCTTTTAAATAATAGCTATTATTGTAAATCGAAGCAAAATTGCTGGTAGAAAATACGGCAACCTCCAGGTCTTCACCGCCAGTGAGACTCCTACCTGAATCAGGCCGTCTCGAACGTCTTAAACCTCTGTCACACGTTGACATTACCTTACCTAACCTAACCGCCCGGTGTTGCTAGAGCTACATTTTTGTGGGATTGAATGTTACAGTATAAAATTATAGGCAGCTGAAAACCCGCGACTTTGTCCACGACTCCGTCCGTGTGCAGTTTACACGCCTGTACGCTGTACAGTTTAGCGTGTACTCTCATTTTCGTGTAAATCAGTGTCTAACGTGAACATGCCCGTCGCGTAGCTTTTCGACATTCCCGGTAACCACGTGGTCGAGTTAAATGAACGAGTGCCCTTTCGAAAAATTCGCGTTGACTTCTCCGGGAAGCGTGAATATTCCATTTCGGTCCTAGCATATTATAATTATTGGGATGTAGTCACAATAAGACGTTCTATGATAATGGGGTTGGGTACATCTACTGTTATAAGTAACTCAATGTACACCTGTAAGCAACGATAAACCATTGGTAACGAAAAAACGATTTTGAGCGAGTTCCGTTGATAGTGCTGCTTTGTCAATAATATATGTCATATTATGATAAAATTACAATTATTCCAATTCTGAAATTAAAACGGATCACTTTTTTCTTACGTTTTTCCCGTTTTTCCTCAGTTTTTTTTCGATTTTTCACATTTGATGAGAAAACCCTTGAGAAAATCGAAAAATCGTCTCCCTGAAGTATCTAAAAAAAAAAAAAAAAAAAACACCTTTCCAAAACCATAAACTTCTTGGCTCCACTCGGAATGTAAAATACAAATCCGCTGTAGTACAATATGAAAACAGTATTGTACAATTATACGGCCGTTGTCTATCGTTTGTCATTATTTACTACTGGAAAATGATAAAAGATCCTACGTACGGTATAGCGTGGCGGAATCCGGAGATTATTATCTCGCGATTGAACTGTATTCATTCGCATACGCGCGTTCTCACGTGACGAATCGTCATCCGCCACGCTGCAAAAGTCGACGTTCATAGAGTAGCGATGCAATACGCGCGCGCCACAGAGTAATAATTCTGATTCGCGTTGGGCATGTGGACGCGATTACGACGGACGATAACGATCGCGGACGGTTTTATTATATTGAGTTTTTTTTTTTTTTTTTATTGCGAACATTGAAAACGTGCAAAACGTCATCGCGATGACCTGAACACCGCGTACGTGTGTCTCCGCGCATCGCAATGGTATTTGAAGGCTTCGGGCCCGGATCGCGTACCGCGTGCAATAGCAACGCCGCTGTTGTGCGTGCGACCGCAGTGTTTGGCCGGCGTCCGTAATGAGTAATGGCAGTTTACAATTATTGTTATTCCTCAACGTCCTCCGGGGCGGCGAGCCTACGTGCGTCGACGCGATCCCGTCCGTCGCGCGATCGAACGAGTGTTTCGGTGTCGTCTACTCGCGCCGTATTCCGGCGCAGATAGATGCGGTTCGCGGTCTCGACCGTTTCGCGGTCATTCGGTTTTTTTTTTTTTTCTTTTGCCCGCTAACACTTCTTCCTTTTTTGTTTTTTTTTTATCCATTGCACATAGCAGTTCTATTATAACTGATAACAAAACGACAACTTTATCAGATCAGATCTATCAACATTTGACGAACTCACGAGTCCGTAGACCGCAAGTAGATAGTGACATTTTATGGTAAAATTCGTATGTATTTGTATTACCATTGTTTGTATAAAACGTTTTGGTGAACGTGGGTAAACTTGGAAAATGACGAGAAAAACTATTTTCAATAAATTGAATATAAGACTTTCACGCTTTTTCAATCAAAATTATCAGATGTAGACGAGAAATTCGGTGAAGTAAACCAGTTTGTGTTACTGGTTGGTTTATTTGGTTCTGATTTATCGTCATGGTGCAAAACATTTGAACCCATTTAGTTAGAAATTCGCAAATAAATCAGTGTGTATCCACTACCGACTTAATTGCTTATCGCTTATTTTATTATTATTGTATTTCTAACAGTCTACGAACCACCATCAAAATTAATCTTAATCGTGACTGGTAGTTATACCATTTTTTCGGTGGGTATGAGATATTATTTTTTTTTCTCGTCATTTTTAAGAGAACTGCTTTTGGGCCCTTTTTTACGAAAAATTCCACGGACATCCGTGTTTGCATACATTTTCATAATTTAGATTCGATGTGGAGCGAGAAATGTATTGGTTTCGGCTTTTACTATGATGTGTGCTTACAAATATAAATTTAATAACTAGGTATTCTACCTTCCCAACTTTCCACCTACAACAGTGGTACACTCGTCCTCAGTATCAGCTCATTTTACTTTTAAGACCATATTTTAGGCTCTTATTTACTGGCCATTATATTTAATTTTTAATTTTATTATTATTATTATATATTTTAGCCAAAACGGGCAATTTTGCATATAAATACAAGTAATATTACATAGAATACTTAAACATTATACTATTTATAGGGGGTAGCTTACAAAGGTAATACAAAAGGAACATTAAATTAATACTAGAATATGCAGATTTAGAAATTTAAAAAAGAGGGGTTTTCGTTGGCCGAATAATTTGAATACTATATAGCTAGAGTGAAATTAAACTTTCTATCTTTTATGTTCTTTTTATAAAGGTATACACTTCGTTATGAAGATGTTATAGTAATATGCAATAGTAATTATTACATTGTTATTGTACGTTGAGATTACAAGCAAGTTGTAATTTTCAATGTAAGGTATGTGTCTTATTAGTGGTAAACAAGACGTGCACATGTTACATAATGAAAAAGTTAATTTAGTTAATAGTTTGAAAGTAATGTGCTATACTATTAAAAAACCACCAGGTTTGATCCGTAAACGAGATTTCGATTTCTTTTGATGTACGTCCGTATTTTGCATTTTGTTCGTAGGCCGTAGGACAAAAACAATGGAATTATATTCATGTATTAAATCCTATCCTGCTAATAATATACATGTGCAAGTTGGTGTGGATGTATGGATGTTCGTTAGTCTTTTATGTTCAAACTACTGAACGAATTAAGCTGAAACTTTACATATGTGTAGTTATAGACCAGGAATAACATGTAACTATTCTTTCCCCGTATTCCACCCTTAAAGGATGGTAAATACTGGGTTATTCGTGTATTTGGTACGAAAATCGAATTATTTTTGTTCATTTATAAGTTACCTTGGTGATACGGATGAAATAAAAAAATTGTTAATATAAGTTAATTTAGTTGTCACGGACAAAAGAATACTCTTAAAAAAAATTAATTATCGGGCAATAACGGCTAACTGAGATAGGTAAGGGTGAATATGGGGAATCATGTTTTTATTTGCTATTTCTTTAAATAAGTAACAATAATATCACTCAAATACCACTCACTGATCGCTATATCTCAAAAACTACACAACCTACGAACTTGAAATTTAGAATAGAGGCTCCTCTAAGAAATTTTTTTTTTAAAAATGAGTTTAGTAGATTAATTAATAATAATAATTAATTGCCACTATGTATTAACAATTGAGTTATTGATTTATAAAATAATCGGTAAATACACACATAAAAGTATATAAAAGTATTATTTATGTATTTTTTTATGGATTACTATAATAGCACACGCAGGGTCGGCGTTAGGGTAGGGCAAGTGGGACTTATGTCCAGGGCCTCGTGCTTGTAGACCCATAAAAAAGCGTAGTATAATTATAATGGGTGTAAAACTGGAAAAATAATTTTTTTAACTACGGGAATTCGGGAAAAACACGTACACAAGCGTTGTTTTATTTGACCATTGACTATTTTGTTGCCTTTTAGTTTTGTACAGTGTACAATACACCTTTATAGGTCCCCCAAATTAAGTTCATTATACAATATAGGCGAAGGGAAAATTTGCATTTAATAACGGAGCTTTGCTGTTCATGAGTCTTTTATTATAATAATATTAATAATAAGTGTTTGTAGAGAAAAAATAAAACTTTAATATATTATTTAATCATCGATTAATAAATTAATATACGTTCTGATATGGAGTAGGTATCCATCAAAAGGTCACGCTCTCTTAACACATAATATAAATAATATGTAATACATATTCATAAAATAACAAGTACACTGTTTGTATTCCGAAAATAGCATGCATTTTTAATGCTTTTGTCGGTTTTTGCTGGTTCAGTAGAAAATGGCATTGAAATTATAATTTTTTTTAAAAAAAAGAGCTGATACTGGGGACGGGTGTGGTCACTATTGTGGGTGGGTAATTGGGTTAGGGATAGGGTACATAGTTATTTAGTTTATACCTGTAAGCAACGATAAATCATTGCTAACAAAACACTACTTTGAACGAAAAAAAAAAATCTAAAATAAAAGGAATAATAATAAAAACAAAACAATGTGCGTTTTTGTGAAAACAACGATTGCTAAAAAAAAATTAAAAGAGAAAAATAATAAAAACTTAATATTAACAAAAGATAAATAAAAATGATTTCTCATGACAACCTTATTTCAATCTTTTATAACCTAAAGAACCAGTTTTTTCTCATTATTTCGAATATTAATGAGAATTTAAAAAAAAATTACCTTTCTAATCTACCAAATAGAGTCAAAATGTAACAATGTTGCATGTTGTTTACAGACTGAAAAACAAAACACACATCATCATAGTAAAACCAATAGATCCCTTGCTTCATTCAGAATCTAATAGAATATTACTAAACGAGACGTATAAGTATAGTAATAATTCATATATCGTTTTAAAAATGTATTAAACAGTAGAACAATTAATTAATTTGGATATGCTGTACTTATAAATTTTACACTTTTGGCTTTAGAATATAATTTTAAGTTTAAATTGAAGTATTTGTGATACTTGTAGTTGTTTATTGAATAGAGTAAATTTAAACAAAAATGTGAATATTGTGAAAGCTGCATAATACAATATTCTCAACGGCCGACTCTTGATAATTATACGACTTTATTATACCCGCATAACACACAATCGACAATATGCATGGTTAATTAAAATGATAACGCTATATAAAAATTTGGTCTAAATATTAAATACCTTTGTGATTCCACTTCAAATGCTAGTACATTTGGTTTTGTTATTAAAGGGCCGTGTTAAATTGCGTTTTTATCTATGCCGTGCGCATCAATAAAAGAAGTACGGTTCGTGGTATTTCCTCTCCTCCATTGGCTTACAATGATTACTCATTTACGAATATTCATTTAGTTATTTAATTTTGAAATATATGCAGTATGTAAAATATATTCCATTGAAGTTACACATTTTCCAAGGAACAGCTCTATTGAAAAAAATTAATTTTCTTTCTTTGGATCTGGTTTTTAAATTCCCGTTGTCGGGTCAGATAATATGTAAAAGAAAATTCTTCGATTTACCCACCATTCTAAACTTTAATTTATTATAAAGTAAATACCTAGGTGATTTGAAGAAAAAATATTACATTTTTATAACGTTCAAATTATTGCATACATTTATGTTTACATCACGTATGTTACCTTTCACTTTTGATACTATTTTTTTAATTTTTTAATTTTTTTTTATTAGACTATTATAGTGGAGGAAGCCGAAAAAGAAAAGGACGACGTGTTACGTCAAAAACGCATCGGACAAAAACGATACGTGTTCGACGCTGTCTTTGGTGAAGATTCTACCCAGGTAAAACAATATGATGGAAAATAATAAAATAACAGTATTATATTTGAGTACCAGGCGTAACGAGGACTTTTCTTTGAGGGTCGATATGAATATTTATTAAAAATATCAAGACAAAAATCATAAATAATATATTTTACATTAATATCACATAATTTGATTAACATTTAACATAAACGATAATCAAACAATAATATTGATGTGGCATGTTTCATACTTGGTATTTTAAATTTTGTATTGTGTATAATAAGTTATTCGAATCAAGAATAGACCTCTTTGGGGGCGGATGTATTGACACCACTTCACCTTCCTGGTCGGTACCCATATAGGTATACATATTTAATAAACTCGTCTATAGAATACCTACATCCACTCCAATTTATTTTAATTTCTAAACGATTTGTGTAAAATTTCAGTCTCATTGAAAAAAAAAATTAGTTATTTATCGGAATTTTTTTTTGGTAGAATAGTGTCTTGTGTAATATTTAGCGTGAATTGTGTATACGACGTGTACCTATGTATAATCTAACATGTGTTATACTGGAAATTAAAATATAAGTTACTATAGTGATGTAATTATGTATGTAATTATTGTATGTGAAGCAATTTATGTGTGACAAAAAAGGCATAAGTCATATAATTATACGATTTGAGCCATTCAGAATGCTTGCATTTAGGTTAGGTAATTTAATAATATAGTCATTTAGAAATTATGGCGTTATGCTATTTAAGAATTTTCGATGTTTAATCTGCTTATATTGAAAAAAAATTACTGAAGCCCTTTTCCCTTTAATCGAAGAAGTGTCGATCAAGGTGAAGGAGGAACGAGTAAAATAATTGTACACTTATTATTAAATCGCTTTCATGTTGCGATCAAACTATTTTTCGTGTGTAGGATGAAGTATACGAAAAAACTGCCAAGAATTTGGTCAAAGACATACTCGTTGGCTATAACGCGACAGTGTTCGCCTACGGAGCGACGGGTAGCGGTAAAACCCACACCATGGTCGGACATGGCGGAGAAACGGGTATAATGGTCCGAGCCATCAGCGATTTATTCGACATAGTGGGTAAAAATGCCTACCGATACACGGTGAGTAGGTACCGAAAATATGAAATCTATATATTTATAAAAATAATGTGAGTATAATAATATTTATATCCTATATTGTAAATTTCTACATATATCGTGTGTACCGTTTATACGGTATCGTATACGGCAAATGTATAGACATGTTGTACTTTAATGTTGAGTGATTCAATAGGTACATAATAATAGGTAAATAGGTACATAATCAGAGCCGTGCTAAGTCATTTGACGACTAAGGGCGTGCATTTTTAAACGCCCCCTTTTAAGATCTTACCTGGTATGATTTTGGGATTAGTTTCCTCTTCAAATTTGACGTTTTTGAAATTTTATTAAATTCATATTAAACTTTCAATATTTTACTCCTGCCAAATAAGATTTTTACTTATTCCTAAAATTTGTATTATTACTCTAAGTAAAACGTTTGAAAATAAAACAAATAGCAAGTAACATAATAATAGTGATATTTTTAAATTGTATTTTGAGTTTTAACAGAGCCAGGTGACCGATAGTTTTAAAAATCTTCGGTGCCTTGGGGCAAACACCTCCATTACCCTTCTGTTTTTAATAGTAAATAATAAGAAATCTTCGCTAAAACTGATAAGCCATCTTATAACTAATTACTATTAATATTAAATATTGCCATGAGCTTTCCTGCCATTCGTATTATGTCTCGTGTAAACTATCATAACCCTAATCATCATCTGCCAAGGTTTTAAAGAACTATGTAAATAATCAAAAATTAACATAAATAATTTGATATCATATTATGATACTTTTTTTATAATATATAGTTATATATTATAGTTCTACGTATCTATTTATAATCTATTTACTTGTTGTATAATATTATCATAATGTATTATTGTTATCAATTTAAATTTAAAATTTGTAATTGGGTGCGTACCCATTTCTTTCTGTAAATAAATAAGGTTTTTATTAATTTTAGGCTAAACTCACACGGACCACATTACGACCACGAAACGGTCGATACATTAATAACCTATAAAATAATATGATAAACGCAATCATACACAGACGGACCACTTTCTGACATCAGTCCAATAGCAGTCACTGTCTTGTATCACCCAAAAAATTGTGGTCGTCGGTGGTCGAACGTAGCATACACGGTGCGAGACGCCAACCACTTTCTGACCAGTCACCGCCAGCACGAAAATTAATTTTATTGTTAACATTTATTATAAAACATTTTTCATCGTACATTCTTAATGAAAAAAATTATTTATAAAACAAATTAAACTTGCTTTCATTTTTATTTTCAATTATGGGATGGACTTAAACATTTCTTTTCCTACGACGCCTCATTCTTTGGCGTAAAATAACAATAGTGCTTCCTCTTTTAAATCTATTTTTACTCTAAATTAAATTTGTAAACTAGAAATATAGAATGTACGCCATATTTTTAGTTGTGATGTGGTTCTATCGTCGTCGGTTTGGACGTCTAACGACCATAAAAATGTGGTTCAAAAATGGTTGATTTCGACGACAGCACATGCGCATTAAAACCAAAAAACAACTTCCATGAGTGGTCCGTGTGAGTTTAGCCTTTAGTCATAGATACAGTATCTGAAAATTAAAAAAAAAACATACTTATCTACTATTTATATATTTTCGAGAATGTTAAATATTGTGATTTGATCTTATATTTAGAACTACAAATGTGATAAATGAAAAAATACTTTTTTTCAAGTATCTTAATCATCTTTGGATGTAATATTTGTTTAACTCAAAATTGTGAATATTTTTTTTTTGATTTTTATTAGTAAAAATAAAATATTATGATTAACCTGATCTGAAATCTGAACGTTTATACGATATCATAAAATTACATAATAACATTAGTGGGGTCGTGGGGTCGTGGATATCTGAGGGTCGTTTTATTTATTTATATTCATTCTTGACATGTATTGGTATGAATGTATGAAATACGTAATACATATTCAAACTGCGACATTGTGTAATATGCGTTTTAGGAATATTTTATACAATACATTAATTAATACGTATACCTACGTGACCTATTTGACAAATAGTTTAAAAATGATTTTAAATCGTTGAAAAATTCAAATACCGAGTATTGATTGTTAAAATTAAGCCAATTTATATAAATATGACAAATTTAATTAATAATTATACAGTCATTTTTCATAAACCTTAATATAGTATTTTATAGACATACGAAAACAATCGTAACGAAATGCACAGTTACGTGTTTCCTGTTGATTACCTTTAATTGCTTGTATCGTTCAATTAAACAACTAAATCCAGTTAATTTTCTATTCATATTATTAGAGTTTTTTACGAGAATTCACATATTTAGATTAGCATATAATTATTGTGCCTAACTAAAAAGCGATAAAAAAAATAAAATAAAATAACAACTCTGTATGATGTTTTACAATATATTGAAACCTATTGAAATCGGTTTTATGTGAAAGTAGTTGATTTTACAATATTTATTTTTATTATTATTTTTTTTTTTTTTATAAAAATTAGGTATCTGCATAAATGTGAATGTACATTTAAAGTAAATAATTTCAATTTTAGTCTAATCGCATAAATGCTGGAGTACACAGTACACACTTATTTTTATTGTAGTCGTAATATAGTTGATATTATACTATCAATACGTAATAAAATTTAGCTTTATAAATTTATAATATTTATACTAAGTTTATTTGATGGTGTCGTTAATAACGGTGAATGGTATTATAATGTTTTATGTAGGTGAAAATGTCGTATTTAGAAATATACAACGAAAACATTCGGGATCTTTTGAACCCTACTTCGGGTTTTCTCGAACTCCGAGAGGACACGTCCAGAAACCGGAACATTCAAGTAGCCGGTCTCTCGGAAGTTGTGGTGGTCTCCATTGACGAAGTGATGGGGCTTCTGCACCAGGGCAACCGACAACGAACGGTGGAGCCGACGGGCGCGAATAAGACGTCTTCCAGGAGCCACGCTTTGCTCAGCGTGACGGTTAGCAAGGCGTCTAGAGCTGCGACGGCCGTGCGCCAGGGCAGACTATTCATGATTGACTTGGCGGGCTCCGAGCGAGCCAGCCACACCAAAGTGATTTTTAAATTAATTAATAACATTAATATAGTAAGAATATAGTTTTCGTTAAGTTCGTCGAGACATTACTAAACATATATATATTCCTTCATTTTTTTTTGCTACCATCCGCCAGCCAGAATTCCTGTCATTTTAGAACTCCGAGAAGGTTTTGCAAAATCCGTCTTAACGAAATCTTCTCAACGAAGTGACGGCCTTAAAAATGGGTTTTTGCCTCTTGGGTTTTAATGTGTCACTATTTTGATCATCATTAATCATCATGTTCAATATGTGACCTGCACAGTCTATAGCTTCTTTCTTTTTATCTCGTTCACAATATCGAATATCTGGTTATTTAAACAGCTCTTCTAATTCCGCATTACGTACTTTTATCTCTTCCTATCAACACATGGCTCATATTGAATAAATAATATTATACAGAACCGAGGAAAACGGCTCAAAGAAGGGGCGCACATCAATAGATCTCTATTAGCGCTGGGAAACTGCATAAACGCCTTGAGTGGAGGAACAAATCCGCGATTTGTCAATTATCGTGACAGCAAACTCACTAGGTTGCTTCGTGAATCGTTGAGCGGAAATTGCCGAACCGTCATGATTGCGCACGTCAGTTCGGCGGCGTCGCACAAAGACGAAACTCGGAACACGTTGATTTATGCCGCTAGGTAAGGATTATCAGCATAATTATTGTTATACATTTGAAACGTCTGATGGTTATGCACGTTGATCATAGGGCAAACGGTATTTCGCACAAAGTCGAGCGGAACGTTTTGAATGTTTCCTTTCAGGTGAACCAGTACAGGTCGGTCATAGCTGACTTGCGTAACGAAATCGGCAGGTTGAGGACGAAACTGGACGAGGGTCGAACCAAATCGTCAAGTGGACAACACAGCGACACCCCCGTCAATCAGATCAGAGACCAGATAGTGACCACGTTTCGCGAACAAATGAAACTCAGGTACCCATTCGTTTATGGGTATAAAATATCATTGTGAAGTCGATAATTTATTAATACATGGCTGATTATTGCTGGCAGACGTAAACTTATGGACATCGACGGACACCTGTTGTCGCTGGGCGTGGAAGCTGAACGACAGCATCAGATCATCAGCCAATGGGAATCGAGAAACAACAAACTGTACTGCCGGAGGACTAGTAGTCAACGTAGACCGAACACGAAGGGCTCGTACAATACGGCGAGTAAGCTGAATAGTGACATTTTCTGTTATTAATAATGACTTGTTATCGTAATAATTATTGTTAAGCACATCACCTATCTATAGGTAATTAATAATAATAACACAATACATATCTATATAGACACAGATTCCCCGGACAACGATCAGTTGAACATGCACCAGGCGTGGTCGGACCTTAGCTACATCGAACACGAACAGGAGCGGTACGTGGGCCTGAGATCCAAGACGGTGAGCGAATTGGACGCGGTTCGGCAGCAGGCAGTGGCATTGGAAAATGTATATGCGATTCAAACTTTATTTATTTATGTGTTTATTTACTTATGATCAATCACAGATTTGACGGTCAGGGAAGTCGGATATGTTCAATCAGGCCTCCCGGCAAAACATAAAAAAAAAAAAATTGTAAATTACAATTATTGTCTTTTTCATATGCCTATATTTTATTATTATTTATTTGTCTACGAATTATCTTTATTCGTAATTGATATCCGATCATATAGTAGGTAAAAATGATTTATCGATTTAAGAGAGGATTTAGATTATGTTTTGGTTATTTTAAACACGTTATTGTATACCAGTACCCATATAGTGCCTAGGAATTTTCGATGGAAGGAGATGTAGTCTATAGTCAAGTCATAAGCGTCATTGCCGGGTAGCGAGTGGTAGCAAATGCTACCCCGCCATTTTTATCAGCGTTACAAATTATTAGCTACCCTAATTTATGAGTAGTTTATAAATAAAATATAATTATCTTAGTTTTTTTCATAATATGATCACACTAATTTTTATATTGAATTAGAACATTAAAAAAGTTTATTCAATAGATTCCTTAATATATTGCTATATTTATTTGATATAGGTATTCCTACCAAATTTCGGTGAGCAATTGACTATAAGACTTATCGATGGTTCAACAAATTGCTCTTTCACTTTATTAGCACTTCTTAAATATATTTGTTCATAGGGCCTGTAAAAATAAATACAATTAAAGAATAATTTAATTTTTTTAATTAAATATATTGTATTATTCGTGATTCTTGTTTCCCCATAATTATAGCTCAAATAATGTCTATGGCTGTAGTAAATAATAATCATGATTCGTGAATGAATCTTAATATCTCCATCTGTTAGATACTTAACTCGGCAATGTAAATTTCAAGCCAGATCCAAAAAACCAATTTTATTTAAACCATGCCAAACAAATTTTTCCTTGTTATTGACTAAAATATATTGTTTCAAGATGAAATTACATAATAAACAGACAGTTATATTTTTAAGTCAATGGGGTTATAAAATAATAATCGTTATATTTTCTCCCCTCTCCCACTCACTCAACTGTCAGTATCTGCCAATGCAGTGGCGGATTATTAACTTTCTTTTGGAGGGGGGAGACCTCAAAAATCATATGCATTTAAAAGGTATCTATTAATGGATGCCTTTATTTTGGATAATATTTTATCGGTGTCTTGGAGGGAGGTATATAGATCCCTCTAGGCCACCTCCCCCGTAATTCCACCACTGTACCAATTTACCTACGATTTAAAAAATGTTCACGTCTCACTAAGTAATATAATGAACTCGATTATTTGATTTGAATTTTGATTAAAATGATGTTACATATTTTAAATTTAGTTATAACAAGTAATAATAAGTATACTTGAAGAAATTAGCGAATATTCCGTCGGGGCCTTTTCCAACCAATCCGCTACTGCTCATGATAATAATTATAATTATAATTATTATACGTATTAACTGTATTTACTTATTTGAAAACAAACAAAAATACACGTTTTTCGCAGAACCTTCCGAAACGATTGGACTCGGAAACCGAACGCGAGCTGCTGTCGTTGATATGCCGTGTTCACGAATTAGAAGCAGACAAAATGGCGTTGCAAGGCGAACGGTTAGTCGAGTCGTACGAGTTACGTCGCCGGGGCGACTTGTTGCATAGGATGCACCGACAACAGCGCATCACCGATGACATCATCACGAAACAACGACAAATCATCGAAGGTATGCAGCACTCTACATTATGCACACGTCGTGTACTCACTATAAATGATATTTAGCCGTATACCCTGCGCATAGTTATACATAATAAGATATTGTGTTGGTGGGATTAACTGTATAGCTCAGAACGTGCCGTTGCCGACCGACCTGAAAGAACTATATCGGTCGTACCAACAAGAAATTCACGCCAACTCGTACAACGCTGACGTGAACAGCATACCGTTGACGTCCGCCATGCAGTTGATAGACAAAGGGTAATCTCATCATAATTATTATTATTTTAATCGGCTATAACTAAACATGAGAGAAAATACTGGAAAAATACCTTTTGCGTGAATTTATAATAAAATAGTTGCCGCCGGTGGCGTGGTGAATGATATTTGATTTTCGGACAAATTAAATGTATAAGTACACACCAGTAGCACCAAAAAAAAAAAAAAAAAAATAGTTAACTGGTCCTTGGACAGCTAACTCTATTATATTATATTATATTTTGAATAAATTACAATTGATATTAGCTAATCATACGCAAATACAATTTTAAAAAAAATGCTGATACTGAGGATGGATGCGCCAATGTTATAATTGAAGTTGGAAAGTTGGGGAAGTAGGATACCTAAAGTTATTTGATTTTTACTAGCAAACAACGATAAACCATTGCAAACGAAAAACGATTTGGAGCGAAGTTCGGTAAGACATATTTAGAAAGCCATAGTTTTTAAGATTTTCGTCAAAAATTTAATCTTAAAACGCTTACGAAAAAAAAAAAACAAATCAAATACATTGCACTCAAATTGGTTTTTAATCTACTAAGTGCACCTTATAAAGAACCTCCTGCCAAATTTTCAAGCATTTCTGTTTAGTACCCACAGAGTAAAAAACTAACAAAATTAAAATGTCTGTAATTAGCTTAAAAATAGCCTAAATATATTTAATGTTATCCACGTCTAGAAAGGACAAATGTACGTTTTGTGCCAAAATATCAATGAATATTTTTAATCGAATTGCAACAGAAAACTAAAATGTTAAATAATAAAAACATTATTTTCGTAAATTTTCCATTTTTCTACGGTTTTCTTTCAAGTTTTGTTAAGTTATATAAAAAAACTACAAACAAATCAAAAACTACTTTATTACTCGCCAACTAGATTAAAAATGCAACAAAAAAGGTTACTTTTGTTATTTGTTTATTGGAACAATATTTTTATGTAGAAAATATAAAGTATACAAATTTAATAAAACAATGAAATCATTATGCCATAATTTGAACAGTTTTCATTGTACGTAATTATCCGGTTTTTCCAATTACTATCAAACTAACGGGAAAATAAAAAACGATTTTCTCCGTGAGTTTCTAGATTCAAAATTTAACAAGTTAGGTCTTTTAGTATTTATGATTAGGTAATAAAAATAGGTTTAAATGGTTTAAAGTAATATTTTTGGTAGCAAACATAATTTGCAAAAATGAAAAACAATGTAATCGGTGACGCCGTGGTGTGCCCTTTATATTTGCCGTTTTACCTATAATTTACTTCTCAGTTTTTTCCAGTTATTTTTAAAGCTCCTTGGAAAATTAAAAAAAATCAATCAACTGCCTGGATAAAATTTCCTTTCAGAAAAGGTACTACAATATTTGCATTGGAGCCAGATTTCTCTAGACTATAAGAGCAAAAGTCACGACTAATATACTATAATACCTTTCCAGTATAGTATACCGAACACCACTAAGAATCGTTTTTCGATTGCATTGATTTACCGTTACATTCATTATAATATACCTACATTTATCCATGTAACGTCTAATAAACGTTATAAACTCTAGAACATATTTACTTTTCAGTCTAGACAGATGAAGAACTTACAAATTTAAAAAATTAAATTACAAAACCATCGAATCTTATCAACACTTATAAGAATAAATATGATTTCGTTCTCAAATAGTTAATTTGTGGATTGTTTTTGAATACGTACAGTTTCGAAAAAACGACTATTAACGAACGTACGTCGGTGGCGGACAATAGTGGAAAATTGTATGCGGCTGGGTCGTCCGCAGTCGAAAGTCGTGATCGTCCGGTAACACCAGAAACGCGACTGGATACTACTTCGAGGTGAATATCTGTTATTGGTTAAATGGACTACGTATTAATTCATAATAAACTTAGAAACTTTTAACTCCGGAAGCGCACATTGAAATACAGGCACTGAAAAAAAAATTTAAATATTCATTGAAAAAAAAAAAATAATTAAAAAAAATCAACTGAACTAGTTATAAACATACTAACTTATTAGTATTTTTATATTAATTATAATAATAATGTTAGGTAGGCTTTTATTTTTGCAGTTGAAGGTCATTTAGCTTATTTAAGATTTTCGTTCCAACCACCATTCTTCTACATTAATTTCTGTCAGCAGCTATTTGGCTTATGCCTAGCATATTTACCAGTACATCCGAACTCTATCCAGTGTCCGTTCATCTCTGTGTTGCCTATGTTTTATGTGGTATTTTGTTCTCTGGTGTTCATTTTGTGATTTCCCTGATTAGCTGTCCTCGTGCCGTACGTTCTCGCTCAGCTTAAAAACTCTTTTTTTTTTTCTCTGCTTCAACTATAATATTAACGTCTTTTAATCTAGGTAGGTATCTCTTATACTGCCTGGTTAGGCATTCGTTCATATTTTCCCGTACTCTGGTCTACTTAAGCAGGCGCGTATTGGCACGTATAGGCCCGCCGGGTTACCGGAAATTTCCCAGTGAACCGTACTCATATAGGTCCTTTATTTATATTCGTTTTTGCACTTCTATTTCCTCAAATTACTTATTGTGATTTTGTGATTTCTTAAGTAGATAGGTAGGTAGACTGGACAGACTGGTACTTGAAGAACGTTTATGATTTATGTTTATAAGTGGGTCCTATATTTAATACTTAAGAGTTAGAACTAAATGTCTGCAGCATGATTTTTCTTTAAAATATCTAGGTATAGTATTTATACGTTATTAATTTTTATATTTTTTCACTCTGTCCGTTCGCCGACTGGACAGCAACGAGAGCTTCGACTGGGACAAGGAAGCTGGAAGTTTGCCGCCCATCAATCAATCGACGACGATGGCAGCCGTTTCCAGAGACGATATTCCGTCGCCCGTACCGGCTTCCGTGCTTTTCCCCCCGATTTCCAACCGATTTCGATGAAGCGTGAAACCTCCTTCTTACCTTCCTCTGCGTTAAAAAAAAGTCCTTGTGCGTGGTGGCGATACGATAAAATGTAATAAGATAACAACGACTTATTGTTATTTTTATATTATATAAATATTCAAATTTCAATATTTAATAGGCTATAATATTATGAAAATAATCTTTTCAAATTTATGAACGAGAATAATTAGTAATAATAATTTCAGCGCTTCACTTTATAAAAATGAAGAAAAAAGTCGTTTCTACCGAGTTTTCTCGTTTTTGTAAAAGCTATTAGTGCTGTACTTAATCACACTGTACATACTTACCTATAACTATTATAATATAATATTGTTTTATATTCGGTTATGAAAAGAGACAATTGTTTATACAAAAGCTTATAAAAAAAGTGGTTGTAAATATAGAATATTTAAATCATAAGAATCAGTGTTGTTTATTCCTTAGGAACATATCGGCTGTACCAGAGTAAAAAAAAAAAAATATCTGTTTGTTGTGCCAATTCAAATACCAACACAATATTGTACGAGGTATAGCTATTAAATAACGATACTGCTCGCATAGAGGGCGCCCTAGATGGGTAGTGAAAAAAACGAGTAATGCGTTGGGTATCTAGATATCTTATCTATGCACGTACCAAAACACGTTTTCGTCACTATTATAGTATTTGTGCAGTAGTGGTTTGAAACAAACGTGTTTTTTTCTCGTGCCGAAAACCATGTGTGACGAAAAACAGGAGCAACGTATCAATCTCAAATTTCTCGTTAAATTGAAAAAAACTCCGACCGAGTGTAAATATAAATTGTAGCAAGAGGCCTATGGAGACAATTTTCTATTTCGTGCACGTGTTTTTGAGTTGTATAAGCGCTTCAGTGAGGGCCGAGACAGCACTGAAGATGACCAGCGCCCAGGTCGTCCTGTCACTGTTTCAACTCCGGAAATAGTGATCAAAATCAACCAAATTGTGCGTGCAGATCGTCGAATGAGCACCCGGATGATTACCGAGGCTGTAAACGCCGATAAGGAAACGGTTAGAAAAATTCTACATGAGGAATTACATATGACAAAAGTCTGTGCGAAGTTGGTGCCAAAAAACCTGACTCCTGACCAAAAGTTCTTGCGTCAACAGGTCTGCTCAGATTTCCTTGAAAAGTTAAAAGAAGATCCCGGACTGATGAAAAACATTATAACTTGCGACGAAACATGGATTTTTCAATACGATGTTGAAACAAAGCGACAATCGATGCATTGGAAGACACCTGAATCGCCCAGAATCAAAAAAGCAAGGATGTCCAAATCAAAATTTAAGGCAATGTTGATCGTTTTTTTTTTTGACATTAACGGTATCGTGATGACTGAATGGGTTCCAGAGGGTCAGACTGTCAACCAGATTTACTATTTATCAGTTTTGGCAACACTGCGAGAAAGAGTTCGTAAGAAACGGCCCGAGTTGTGGAAGAACAACTCGTGGATTTTGCACCAGGACAACGCACCTGCCCATAACGCGCTATCTGTGAAGCAGTACTTGGCCGGTAAGCGCACTCCAGTGCTCGAACACGCGCCGTACTCGCCAGATTTGGCACCGTGCGACTTTTTTTTGTTTCCAAAGATAAAATCTGCTTTGAAAGGGACCCGATTTGAGTCGATGGAAGCGGTAAAGCAAAAAACGGCAGAGCTCCTAAAGGCCCTCACCAAAGAAGACTTCCAGCACTGCTTTGATCAATGGAAAAAACGTATGGAAAGGTGTGTGGCGAGGGGAGGGGAGTATATTGAAGGGGAGCATTTGAATGTAGAATAATTTTTATAATAAAACACTTTTTCATAACTAGTCTTGTTATTTAATAGCCACATCTCGTATAACAATACTATTATAAAATATATTTAATTGAATTATATGAGTTGTAGTTTTTCACACCTATTTACTGATATAGCTGTTTCATAAACTTCCCAGCCCTAAAATCAATAAACAGAATACGTTTTTTTTTTTTTTTTTTTTATTAGGTGTTTCTGAGAATTATACTTGCCCCTCTATTTAATTATGTGGAGCCATCTCACTCAGAATAATTTTTTGTTTAAAATTATTTATCACTGACCAGTTTATCAGCGGCATCCAATAAAACTTCCGATATTAGGTGGCTATAAGATACTCAAATATTAGTTAATTTGTAATTTAATCCGGTTGTTCTAAATATTATATTCAAGTGCTGTTGGGGGATAATTTTATTACAAGCTATATTATATTCGAGTCAAGGAATAACAATAAATCTGTTCATTGTTTATCTATGACAACAGATTAATATTTCTATAAAAAAGTAAGTTATAATAAATAGTTTATAGATTTGATTAAATCCAGATACGACCATTAACCGTTGAGTGCCGCAATCCAAAGATCTCCCAGGAGCCGACAAAATCGCCATCTCAGGTCAGATGACTCTCTTATGGTGTCACAGGAAAAAGTAGCCACATGCAATTGTTATTTGTTTATTTATTTTTTTTTTTTTTTGTTTATACTTAACGGGTGATCCATTTAAGTGAGTACATTCGTTATTTCGGAAAATATTAACTTTTTCCGGAATTTGTTTGCTAGAACATTTAAGAAACAAGCTGCTCTACAATTTAACATTCATGTTATTTTTTGTCACCCTTATTTTTAGTATTATTTGTATGGTGATACGGTGCGCAGCGTGTTAATAATGCACCACTACTCTCCTCCAACCTAAACATAAAAGTGGAATATCTCGTCAACGGCTTAACAGAAATTAAAAATTTCAACATTAAAATTTATTTTAACTAATACTCCATCTATTTATGGATATTTTAATATAGGTTGCTATTTGAAAAAAGTAACTTGTGGTTTTGACCCCCCAAATTAAGGGTGACAAAAAATAACATTAATATTAAATTGTGAAATACGCTGTTTTTTAAATGTTCTAGAAAATAAATTCCAGAAAAAGTTAATACTTTCGGAGACAATAAGTGTACCCTTAAACGGATCACCCAGTCCATTGAATATCCATCTATATTCTACCTTCCAACTTCTTATCTAGAACAATGGTCAAACCATTGTGCGAAATATGTCAGTCTTTTTTTATTATCAATCGTTAATATGAAATTTAATTATTAACCGTTTATTCGTTTGTCAACTATAGCCGCTTAAAAATCATGCATAACATTTAGTTTTAATTAAGATATCTCTCGTATACTTAATTTTAGATAACTGTTGGAGAGTGGACAAGAGTAAACAAAACAAAAAAAAAATGTGACAGTTATACAGTTTTTTTTAGAGATAATTAAATACCGTTAATAATAAATGATTAACGAAGTAGTGTATGCATTATCTATGAAACAAACTTTTCTATTTTTTTTTTCTTTTTTTTTTCTTTTAGAAGACTGTAGAAAAATAATAACGCAACTTATTAATTTTAATAGTGTGCAAAAGATTTTTTTCGGAGTTGTAGAAGTAATTATTTTACTCGTAATCACTATATTTTTCCGAAAATTTGTTTAACAATTTAAGAAACAAGCAACTCTAAAATGTTACATTACCATTATTATGGGGAATTATTCGGGGATAAATTGAACAAGTTTTCGTACAAAATTATGTTCCACACAGTATTGCCTTTTTCTCTGATTTTCAAAAATAAACTCTGAACAAAGTCAAAATAATATGGGAAATGAAGAATGTTGAATTAATAATCACTTTTCGTAAAAAATATGTGTATTAGAATGAATAGGCGAAGGATCTAAAAAGCGAAAAAAAGGAAAACTTTATTATATTAAGTATAAGTTTTGTTAATATTATTATCGATTATCACTGACAAACCCTTTTACTTATACATAAGAGTATCCTTTAACCTTATTATGTAACTATTCGTCGATATAACTATATTCATTAATCATGTTAAAAACGTCAAAAATTATAATCCCATATTGCTAATCTATAGATTTAGATAGATTGAAAATCGGAGCAAGATTTTTGGTAGAAAAGTTGTTCTCGGGTAAAAAAAAAAATCAATAAATAAGCATTCTTCGTAAGACTAGTAGATTTGGAGTGTAGCGAATCAATAATTAAATAATTAGGATTGTTTCTTACCTTGCGTATTTTTTGATGGAAACTCTGTAGAAAACGCATCAACTAATAATCAACCATATGAATCATTAAAAGTGCACGGGCAATCAAATGATCAGAAATCTCTTGGTCCCTTCAGATTCGTTATAGAGATTTTTCACTGTGTACATATTTATAAATATATAGGGTTATAAATCTGTCGTAAGACACTTATTATCCTTCAAAGTATACATTTTTTTGGATTTTTTTTTATAAAACACTTAAAAAACAAGCAGCTCTACAATTTAATGCATAAATTATTTTTTGGACTGAAAATATATCTATTACCGAACAAATAAGATTTAATAAGATTCAATAAGAATTTAAAAATTTAAATTGAATTTGATATTATGTCAGCCACAAAATCTCTCACGAGTTTTCTCACAATAAAAATTAAATAATCTACATATTTTTCCATAAATATATTAAATCATCTAATAAAACATTCAATAATAAAGTTAAGAAATTTCAATTACGAAACATCACGATTATGAAGAACTTAATAATCATGAGTAATGTATAGGTCATATCCTAATAATGTTTTTGTTTTAATTAAAAATAAAAAATAAAATATGTATAATTTGGACGGTCCAAATGACATCCGTTTTTAAAGAATCATATTTTGTACTTTTACCTGGCTTGAATTGAATTTTCGATTGGAATTCAGCACTACTTAATTGACGCGCTATCCCGATATGTAGCGGATCGTGATAATAGTGGTAGCTGAAATTTTACTGTGTATTATTCACACTGATATTATATAATATCATTGTATCATAATATATTCATATTCACACAAGGTGGTTCGTCCACCAACCTCTGTGATTTTTAAAGCGGACATATCTTTTCAGAATATTAAGGACATGTATGACCATATTTTTCAACAATAAAC